GCTGTCAACCAGCGGGTACTGGGCTGGCTCTAGCCCCCTGGAGAGCACAAACAAGCATACTACTTGCCAACCAAGAAGTGAGAAGAAAAGTGGTGGTGGTGGTGTGGGGAGAAAGAAAAAGCACCCTTTCCTCTCGGTTATTCTTTCACCTTCCCTTTCATTCCCAGCAAGGCACTGAGGAGAAGGGCAAAGAGAATCACAGACAAATGTGAGGACAGGTGCAAAGTAAGTGGTATAGAAATTGTTATAAATAAATAAGGACGGAAGGGGCGGACTTTGGGACTATGAATGATTTTTTTTGAAAGGCAGTACAGTATAATGCAGGGACGCGGGTGGCGCTGTGGGTTAAACCACAGAGCCTAGAACTTGCCGATCAGAAGGTTGACAGTTCGAAGCCCCGCGACGGGGTGAACTCCCATTGCTCAGTCCCTGCTCCTGCCAACCTAGCAGTTCGAAAGCACGTCAAAGTGCAAGTAGATAAATAGGTACTGCTCCGGTGGGAAGGTAAACAGTGTTTCCGTGCGCTGCTCTGGTTTCACCAGAAGCGGCTTAGTCATGCTGGCCACATGACCCGGAAGCTGTACGCTGGTTCCCTCGGCCAATAAAGCAAGATGTGCGCCGCAACCCCAGAGTCGGCCACGACTGGACCTAATGGTCAGGGGTCCCTTTACCTTACAGTATAATGCAGTTGCAAAATCAGGAATTGAACCACGTAATACTTTTGCTTTATACTAGGGATGGAGAACCTGTGACTCTCCAGATAATGCTGGACGGACTCCAATGCTCATCAGCCCTAGCCAATATGGTCAACAGTCAGGGATGATGGGAGCTGTAGTCCAACAACACCTAGATGGTCCCAGGTTCCCCATCCCTGCTTTATAGCCACTGAAACTGGATAGCTCTGTCGGTGTAGAGAATGGGACTCTTAATATCATGGGTCGTGAGTTAAAGCCCCACACTGGACAAAAAGATTCCTGCATTGCAGGTGGTTAGACTAGAAGACCCTTGTGGTCCCTTCCAACCCTACAATTCTATGATTCTAATACAACAGCCCTTTTGAACTCAAGTTTCCCATCTTAGACCTTACAATATCATTAGTGAGTTTACTCCTTAAAAAAAAAAAAAGGGTATGCGGTACACTTGACAATCACATTCTACAATGCAGTCACGATAGTAGTATGTACAATATCTGAGAAAAATATTATCATCCTCAATAACAAAATATAGCATACTGAGTACTGTGAAAAAGTGCTATGCCAGGGCCAGAAGTACAAACTCAAGTGATGTGCTGATTGCATACAGGAAACACTTAACAGGTGCACATCTTTTGCCCTTGAAAACAGGGTATTTGAAAAGGTCCTCGATGTCTACATAAACATCAGAAATGAACCAGCCAAGTCACTCAGTTATGGGCTGTGCTACCCTATTATTATCTGGTTTAACAATGTGAATTTGGCTTGACCTTCCAAGAAACCACTATAACATTTTATACACCCAGCATTTCAGTACCCAAACACATGGTTTTATTCCATCTTATATTTAAAATAGCTACAGATGGGCTTGTCGAATGTTTTTAGCATTTCAAACTTCTCGTAGATTGTTTACATCTTGTCCTTTGCTATCTTTCCATGCACTAAGCAAAAGTTCATAAAAAGTGTGTGGTGTAATTAAGTACAGAAGGCAAACAAACCTTACGCCTCTCTCCACCTTATCACCACTCCCTCTCATAGCAAACCTGCCTATCACTTTGGAAGCAAAATGGGGCCACCAAAAATTGGACAACATTTCTATACTCTCAGGGAACACACAATGCACATAAATTTGTAAGTGAATGTGTTTAGGTCCCTCAAAATGGTCTGGCAAGTACCCGTTAGCTTTTTGATGTATGGAAGACTGGGGTGTCAGCCAAGAGAAAAAGAAACAGGGGAATCTGCCAGGTCTAGCAGGCATCTTACAGTAACTACCTGGAGTGGAGGGGTAGAATCAGGATTGTGGCATCCATGCTGTAAGCTCAAAGCCCTCCTTTCCCTGCACTATACAACAGGTTACATGCTTTATCAGTATTTCAAACCAGTTCATCCCTGTCTACTTTGAGCATTAGATCCTGATGGTCCAAGAAATTATTGTGCAAGTGAATCTTTGAAAAACCACTGCTGCTGCAGGTGAGGGGTAATTTTGCTGAGGTAGTTGCATGGACTTTTTAAAAAGATAAAGAGCTGCCTTCAAACACACAGCATTACACATGCTGACCACGCTAAGCCCATACTTAGGATAGAAAAATTGGGAATTGAGTGTGCGCAAAATCCTCAATGAGGCTTACTCACAGGTAACTGGGTGCAGAATTTCAGCCTAGATTACACTTTGATTCAATTGAACAGTTTGGCATGATTAAGTCTCCATTCAAAACAACAGGGAGTGCAGGTAACTTAGTTGGCTCCAATTCTATAGTCTTAGGAGAACAAGCAATGTTCTCCTGGGCCCCACAGGCATTTAATAAAATCTGAGCATCTCTAACCATACAATAGTAAGATTCTCAGTACATACATAAACAACAACAACAACAGATACTCAACACTATTTTAATTTCTTGATTAAACCACAAGTTTCAACTATTACTTCATCATCAATATAAATAACAATGACAAAAATCACTCATCTCTTAACAGATGCACTGAAAGGACTTTTTAATTATATTCCATGCCTCAAGTCTCTGCTTTCTTCCTTGCCTAAAACTTAACAATATGTCAACTTCAAACTTTTCAATAAACTCTAAAACCCTTGGCTATTTTTAATCCCCTAAAGCATTTAATTACTTCTATCCAATACAGACATATTGTTGTACATAGTATGAATAACACATGGATTTGGGTTCCCCTGTCTGCTTGTATACGTTTAATACAATCTAGGGCTCCCTAGAACATTTTTGAGTGTTGAAGGCAGGAAGCAGTGTTTTTCTCAGCTGGCCTCACAGTGATCAGGACACAAAGTGAACAAAAGGCAGCCATTTCCCAAATGCTAAGTGACTGTCTATGTATGCTTGGTAAACCAATCCTGCCAAGGGATGAGAATAATTTTTATCACATTTCCACACCTAATCAAGATTCAGGAAAAGCAAGGTGTGGTGCAAATGTTCTCAACACTTAGCAGGATATTAAATGCACACTTTGGTAATTCCTTGTATTGTCTGTATTCAGCCACCTATAATCAGATTATCAGACACTGACATAGGTAGGTAAATTATGAGAGCCACACGAATTTTATGGGACAGTGGCCATGGAGATTAGATTGCGTCACAAGACTCACATAACTGAAAGTTTCTTCATACATCACCACTAACAAAATATCTCTGAGCTGGACATGGATGCCAGGAAGAAGAGATTTAGCCAGGGGGACCTGGCGTGCTAGCTTTCTACGTCTAAGGAATTGTTTTTGTATGAACTAGACCCCAGCTTCCACCAGTGAAAGAATAAAACATTATCTAGCAGCAAGCAGCTCCCCTTGGTTCTCAAGGTCTTAAGAAATATGATGGACAGCCAATTGTTGTTTGTTAAATGGTAAGAAATTACACTGATGCAGAAACAAAACTAATTCTGCACAGAGCAGATCAGGGGGTTGAGTTTGGATAAAAGTTTGGCAAACAACTGAAAACAATGAGTATTTGAACAACACATGTTTTAACACTGAGTGGCAATACTGAAAGACACATGCCCTTCTCGAAGGCCTAGGGGAGAGGAAAAATAAAGTGAAATAATCTGCCTAAGAAAGTGTGGTGTTTGCTTTTCAGCTGCGCAGGTAACATGCAAGTGGGTCTGTCCTGTTATCACACATGGCCTTGTGAATGGCTTTTGGGAAATGGAGGAGGATTTTTCTGACCAAACACAGCTAAATAATCTAATCCAGTATTCAGTTGCAACAATGACATAAGCAAGAAAGAGCTTCAAAAAAAGCTCTGATAGCTCTCCCTCCACCTCTAGGCCATTAGGGAATAAGCCACAACAACTGGAAAGTTAAGAAATTATCTTGACCTGTGCAGTTTAGAGCAATTCAATCTGTAGTTAAATGTTCATTCAGCACAGGAGAAATGGCAGTGAAGAGACATGCAGTTCTATGAGGAGAAAAAGGAGGAAACTGTACCACTTCTATGAGGAACAACTCGCCATTCTTAATTGAGCAGTATTGTGTGACCATTCAGGAAATTAAAATAGGCAAATAAGATCACTTACTGTCCTTGAATCATCTTTTTGTACTCATAACAAGAAGTGTACTTTTCTCCAGTTAGTGCAATGGCTGAGTAAGTATACTATGAATTCTGATTTGGTGATTGTGTGATGACACATTAATTAACCTGGAATGCTATTCTGGATTAAAGGGGGGGGCTGTATGTGAACTCTACAGTGCAAGCCTATATGCAAACTTTCTCAGAGGTAAGCCCCACTGTGCTGAATAGGGTTTACTCTCAGGAAAGTGTTCTTAGGATTGCTGCCTGAAGCTTCCATCCATAATGGAATTTACCATGAAATCAATGGGACTACCAGTGAGTATGCTAAACTGAAAATGTGCCAAAAAACAAACGGTAAAACCACATTATGGCAATTACAGCCAAGAGAACAAAGCCAACCGGGCATTTTCAAGAATATTTGAAAGCAACCCTCAATGAGTGGCGGCTGCAGTACGCACTCCAATGTCACCAAGACCAAAGTAAAGAAGAATTCAGCCGCTGCCAACAACATCGCAAGAGTCCCCTGTTGAGGTGAATCGAAGCGACCACTTAGTAAAAAGTGCTTCCAGAAAAGAAAAAAGGAAAAAACACACCATTTGTATGTGCAAGCAAACTACTCGGCCAGGGGGCAGAAAACTCTGGAAATCGGTAGGATTACAAGAGTCAACCGGCCACATCCTGACATAAACAAAAGAGGCTGGGAATCCCCTCACCCACCCCGCCACACTGTGGCACCCCTTGGATCACCTACGCGGAGAAATACGCGCGCGTGTAACCTTACCTTGGTGATGATGAGAGGCTCTCCATGTTCTCTTCCTCCTTTCAACGTGAATCCCCAGGGAGCCCCGCCGCTCAGTTGCACTTCCACCAGCTTGTACGCGTCGCCTCCCCTCTGCTCCCCTATCAGCAGCAGAGGCTGGTGAGGGTGCCCTTGGGTGTCCAAAAACGCGGGGTTCAGCCTCGGATCTTTGTCCGGGAACCTCTCCTGGCCGCCTCGGAACTCCACGTTCTCCATGGTCGCCCGAAACTGCCCCCCAGCTCCTTCCTCCTAGCTGGATCCAGCGTGCCGCTGACCTAGGAACCACATACCTAACAACAGTTTCCAGCCCGCTCCCATATGGCGAGGGGAGGGAGTTGCAAAACCCCCTCGCGCAGCCTTGGCTCCTCCTCCGCTTCCCTCCGGATCCCGTTGGGTCGAAGAGGAGCCCGGGCAAAGGGGAGGCGGGGAAAGCGCGCAGGGAAACGGCGAGGCTGCAAACAGGCTTGCTCAACTCAGCCGGGTGCAGCTGGGCAGAGCCAAGCCGGGAGGGAGGAGGAGGAGGAGGAGGCTCACGCTTGTGGGGTGTGTTGTAAAATATTCCAGCCCAAATAGTAGTCGCTGCGGCGGATTGTGGCCAAAGGATTTCTCTTTCCCTCTCTTTAAAAGCCAGGAGATAAGTTAAGGAAGTCTCCCAGAACTAGCGCAACTTTCGCCCGAGGGTTTTCTTTAGGAAATCGGTGGGTGGGAAGATCGAAAAGGGTCTGGGTTGGAACATGCTGGTGGGGAAGTAGGCATGAATCTCCAAACAAAGCGGCGGGTGGAGAGAGAAAGAGGAGTTTCCCCTGTTATGTATTGAAGAGTGCTCTTGTGTCGACTGCTATTTCCACCCACAATTTAATATTCCCCCTTCCCCTATCAGCGAAATAGGAGGGCTGCAATGCAATGCTAAGCTCCAACATACAGAGGAAGAATGCACGCAACGATTTAAAAAGAGAAAAGGGGGGAAGGGTCACTGCGATTTCACGTGGGGAATAAGTCGCAGCCGTGTTAAAAAGGCAGCGGGAAACCACGCCTCCTGGATTCAATGGGGTTCCGGCCCCGAGGAAGAGACCGGCTGCTTTCGGCATTGCTAAAAGCAATTGCCTCTCCGCCCTTCGAGGAGCCAAAGGAGAAAGACCCCCCTCCCAATAAAAAACACACCCGGCGGCAGCCGCTCCTATCACCTATTTCCGCTTCCTCCTTTTAAAATAAATAAATAATAATAATAAACCTTTATTTTGCAATGGCTTCTTGTCTAAGCGCAGCCCCAGTGCTCGCCGTTTAGGCGCAGCGAAGAAGCCCTTTGTGTGGGTGGGGCGAGGGGGGTGGGAGGCCGAGGCCTCGCGGGGGCCGCAGCTGCTGCGGGGATGGCGTCGTCCCCGTCCCAGGGAAGCCCCCTCGAAAGGTTTCGGCGCTGGAGGGGTCGGGCGGCGGCGGCACAAAGACGAGCCGGGGAGAGGCGGCGCTTGAGCCGGCCTCCCCTCGAGCAACCTGCGGAGCGGCAGCCCAAGCTTCTCCTCGGGCAGCAGCAGGTTTGTCCTCCAGGACCCTCTAGTGGCGGCTGGCGAGAGGAGCGGCTGAGGGAGCCAGGCGGCTTCCCGCGCGCTGCCGCTGCGCCTAACCAGCAAAAGGCCAGGCTTGCACGTCACCTGCACGCCTTTCTTCCTTCACCTTTCCCACACGCACCTGATAGATAGAACTTCTTGCACTTGCTCTAGAGAACAGGGAAGATCGCCACATGTAGTATTAACGGACGGTGCTATTGTTCCTAGAAAAACAGGTGCCAGGACACCCTCCTCGTTCTTAGAATGGCAATGTCGCCCACCTGAGAGGTGCCGGAACTGAGCTACTGTAAATTCCCCTAGGGAAAAAGCCCTGATTCTAATAAAGGTATTGTCCAACTTTATAAACATGTGTCTGAACCATGCCTTCAGTCATTTGTTTAGCATATAGCTTTTCTCACAAATGATGCATTTATGACGCATTCAGTACAGTGGTACCTCGGGTTATGTACTTAATTCGTTCCGGAGGTCCGTTCTTAACCTGAAACTGTTGTTAACCTGAAGCACCACTTTAGCTAATGGGGCCTCCTGCTGCTGCCATGCCGCCGGAGCACAATTTCTGTTCTCATCCTGAAGCAAAGTTCTTAACCTGAAGCACTATTTCTGGGTTAGCGGAGTCTGTAACCTGAAGCGTATGTAACCTGAAGCGTATGTAACCCGAGGTACCACTGTATTGGAAAATGTTTTTCATACGTCATCTAAATAATCTGTATACCATCCCTGTAAAGGCAGTGCAGGCTGACTGGAGGAAGTCTGCAGAGCTTACCTCCTGCTAAGTTCATGGCAGAAGAAACAAATTTTAGCTGGGGATTTCCTAGCACATAGTTGGCAGTCTTCAGCCACTACACCACACCTAGTGTCTAGCGAATACACTGGTGCCCGTTTGTAAGCTCAAAATAAATCAGACCAACAATGTACTGCTGTGCATATTTACATAGGACGTTAAATATGGCTTCCTTCTGTTATATGATTGCAAAGTCTACATTTGGAATCTTCCACATTCATAATCATCACATGCCCTTCAGTTTCAAATAGGCAACTGGTACTTGAGTACACATTACTTCTCCGATGCACCAATGTGTAGCTAGCTTCAGACTAAACAGAATAGGCTTTGAACTCTGAAACACTAGTCATATTCCAGCATTTTGCAAAGCTAGAGGACAGAACTGTGTAGAATCCTCCAGATATATCAGATATATAATCAGATATATTACTGATTTGCTTATTCTGAAGGAAATTCTGAAGTTTGGAAGTCACTGAGTTGAATAGTAAACCAGTACGAGATTGGATAAATAACTATTTACTTCATATTAATTATCCTGGTATGTTTAGAAGGATTCTGAGTTATGTAGCATCAAAGTTGTTGCTAGTAAACACACACATACGCCCTGCAACCGGTTCCCTTTAACAATAGTGTTTTATTACTGCAAAGAGAGTGCTCAGGATCCTTAAATTTCATCACAATATTTACAGCTAGGCATTGCATCAGAAATTGTACTGCCCTTACACTGGCTCAGCCATGAATTTGAGAACAGCTTCTCGTTTGGGTATAAGAAGGGAAATACTCCACTAAATAATGCAAGTCTACTGAGAAAACAAACTTATAGTACTTTCTTTCAAATCAAGTGATCTCTGAAACAGTACATTTCTGGAAGCTTCAAATGGCAACATGTAGTGACAATGCTCTTAGTAATACGTAAGGTTAATTTCCAGCATAATACACAAGAGTAATTTCCATCTTTAATTTCCAACGTATGTTTCACTGACCGTTAACCATATGCTCTCAAAACACTATGCTTGAATGCCGTTTCCCATTCACTCACAAGGGCATGTGCCTTAGACCAGGGTGGGTGGGGAGAACCATTTCCTGCCATATCCCCCCCTGAAAAATATAACAAGTCAGAGGTTTCTACACATACACACCTCACATTATCTCCATCCTCCTAATGAAAGCAAGAGGCTTTATCACAGCTCAAGGACATGTTCCACACAGACAGAATAATTCAAGAAAAGTGTGGAGCAAGGCTGGTGGAGAGGGGGTTGTCTGCGGAGCATGAATGGCTTGGGAGAGTCCTGAGGGCCAGACAGAGAGGTCTGAAGGGCCGCATTCAGGTTTGGGGGCTGAGGTTCTCCACCACTGTCCAAGACGTTTATTGTGGCATGGTAAGCAACTGTCAGCCTCATGAGAGGCAAGAACAGAACAGTAACAACATCATTTGTTTTAAATGATCATTCTGTCTCTTTCCTGCAGTTCTTTGCCCCATTTCTTTCCCCCACCTGATTCCTACATATCTCCAGATTGCAAAATATCACAGACAATAATAATATTGAGGTCAGTAGAAAAATACTGGCTTAAGACAGCAGAGGATCTGGGCCAACTTGCCACATTTATTTATCTCTCCTGAACTTGTACTGACATTCCTGCCACAACAGCAAAATGTGTTCCACACTTGTCTGGCAGTTCCCGGGAGAGAATCCCTCCGAACGAGATTTATAACAAATTTGTATTGCTGTTATATTTTATAACCATTCATATGGGGGGATTTCTGTCTTCTGTGCAGTTCCAAAATACTTTATTTGGTCTGCAACCAACTGCAGGGTGTATTCTATAAAGAAACAAAAATGAAGTATCATTCTAAGAATCAGTCCATAAATGTTTTAGTCACTCCAAACACATGAATTTTGAGGGAAATGGTTATAGGGGTTTTTATCTTTAGAGCAGCTGGATTTGAAATGCTGTGGTCAAGGGAAGCTAAAGTATTTATCTCTATGAAAATCAACAAAGGTAAAGGGTGTGTGATGTTCAACATAAGCAAAGAAATAAGCTATTTTAGGATTGCAGCCTATGTTCCCCAAGGGCATTTGACAATCCTTTGTCATACTTTGTCATCAATCTAAAACCTTATAATGAATTATTGACTATGCTCATGCAACAAATACTAGTGATTGTGGTGGGGCAATTACTCTCAAAAATATGAATGATGGCAGCAAGCTAGTGATATGCTATTGTTTATATCAGGAACGGGGAACCAGCGGCCTCCAGATGTTGGACTCTGAGCAAAACAGTCTGACTTGGGAGATTACCCTTCCTTTGCTATGTTGTTGTCTATGCCAACTAGGGCTGACAGGAGTTATCTGGAGGGCCACAGATTGCCCATGACATCCCTACACTCTTCCTTTAGGTAAGTTCCATTGAATACAGCATGGCTTACCTCTGGGTAGATATGCATAGGATTGCACTGTTAATGCAGATCAGTTACCCAAGTTTCAACCACTTGCAATGAACCCTCTTCATGCCTGCTCGTAAGGCCAATCGAGTTAAGTGGGACTTGGAGTAAGCATGGACAACCTCTGTCACATGAGGTTTATCCAATGAAACATACTTGAAACTTTACATGGTTGGATTTTTCACTCTGTGGCCGTAGCATCTATAAACAGGAATCAAAGTGGGTTGGGGTAAGAGGATGTCGCTGATTTCTTCCCATGCCAGCCACATCTTGCTAGGGCATTGGCATAGGAACCAGCCACATAGCAACCTAGTTGTGCAGAAGACTTCAAAGATCGTCTAGTGTTTAACCTAACCCCTGCTGATGAAGGAAATCTGCTGTCCCAGCATCCCTGACAGGTGGCTAGCCAGCTTCTGCTTTTAAAATTCTAAGGAAAGAGCAAGGCAGTCTGTTCTACTGGAAGGGTGGCAGACTCGCCTCCCTTAAAGAGATTTTTAATCCACATACATGGGTCCCAGTTACAGTCGCTACTGCTGGGGGGCTCCAGCCCGTGCAGGGGTACCAATGCAATACAAAGAAGCACGCTCGATGGTGAAAAAGCGATTCCCTCTTTAACCCCCTTAGCTAAATAATTATGTGGGGCCGTGTGTTTGCAATCAGTCCTTCGGGTTTTGCGTGGGTGCAGTTATCCCAGAGTGAGTAATAATCCACCTTGTTTCGGGCCCGATTCCTTCTGCCCAGAGCCTCCATATGGACGGAAGCTGATCTCTTCGAATTCGCAGATTCTGAAGGAGCAGCAACTTCGACGCGCTGCAGCTGCTGCCCGGGCGCGAAGCGAACGCTGTGCGCCCGGTAGCCATTCAAGCACCACGTGCCCAATGCCGGCACGCATCTTTTGCCTCGAGGGGATTCCTCCCCGTCCTGCCACTTTGGAGTTTCCCTCCTCCTTTCCCTCCTCTCCCCTTCCGTCTGCGGGAAGGCCTACCCGACGCCTCGGAGCGAAAGAGCCCCGCTTCGGATTAAGGCCCGCTCGCGCGGCTGCTCTGATCTCCGCCCCGCCAGGCTGGGCCTGGCCGCTGCAGGGGATTTAGCCTTCGCAGCAGCGCCAGCGATGCCGCCGCCTGACCCAGCCACCCCGTGACTCTCTGCCTTCAGCTCGGCGGGAGAAACATGAAGCAAAAAGCCTCCTGAAGCGGCGAGAGGAGGCTGCTTTGGGTGCTTGGCTGCCGTCGGGCCCGCTGCTCCTCATGGCCTCTCCGAGGCTGGAGACCTTTTGCTGCCCCAACCGAGACGCGGCCTCGCAGCTGCTGCTCGCTTTCCAGCCGCAGGTCTTCTGCGGGGTTTGCCTGGGCAGCGCCTCGGCCGGCCTGGCGCTCAGCGCCCTGCAGCTGCTGCCCAAGAGGGGCCAAGGCGCCAGGAAGGTGCCCAAGGCGGCGGCGTCCTCGTCCTCCACCATCCTGCTCCTCATCTCCGCCTGCGACATGCTGGGCGCTTTAGGTAAGGCGGCCACGCGCTGCTGGCCAGGGTCGCCCCCTGCTTGCTTTGCAAGGAGACCTCTTCACCGCGTGGTGGGGGTTTTTGCTGGGGGGGGGGAGAGAAAGGGCGACGGACGACTTTTGCATTGGCAGCCTGTCGCTTGGGGCATCAATAGGGTTGCAGACTTGGAGGGATGGTTCAGATTCCGTCTCCATCCCCGTATGGGACAGCTGCATAGTCCTGCATTGGACTATGATCATCAGGTTCCTTCCCCAATTACATAACTTCTGTTCCCTCCAAATCCTATTTCATAGAATTGCGGAGTTGGGTCGGGGGTCATCTAGTTTCACCCCCTGCAGTGCAGGAATCTTTTGCACGAAGTGGGGCTCGCGATCCTGAGATAAAAGAGACTTATGCCAAACAGACTGAGATAACTTAAATCTCAGGCTTGTGGGTTTGAGCCCCATGTTGAGCAAAAGTTTCCTGCGTTGCAGGGGGTTTGGACTAGATTTCCTGTGTGGTCCCTTCCAGCTATAGCTCCCTGTTGAGACTACATTCAGTGGCAAACCCAAATTGACCTCTGCCTCATGTGGTCAGCCTTCTGGCCACTTGCACAAGTGTCCAAGAATGTACCTGGTTGTAGGATTCTTATGATACCCTGTCTACTTTTATTTTTCCAAATGGACAATTGAAAAGCAAGGGACTTTTTTGCCAGTGTAAATTGCAGGTGAAGCATTGGGGCCAGGGGCATGATACAGATCCAGCCTGCGCAAGTTAGCAAGCGGTTAAATCCCCTCTACCATCTCATACCAGGATCAAAACCTAAAACCGCCCCTCCATCACTGAGCTACATGACTGACGTTAAATTGTAGTTTAGTGGCCACCAAGTCTGCTTGTACAGATGGAATTTTAAAGCCCTACTCTTTGTTGTCCATCCCTCCACCTCCAAGTAAAAAAATAGTGTTTGTTCTGATATAACACCAGGGAGAAAATTAATGCAATTGATGTTTACTTATAGGAAAAAAATAGTGGGGTGTTAACAGTCATTTGTTAATTGCATAGCAATATCTTAATGGAAGAAATAGTGCATGTATTTGAAAAAACACTTTACATATTTTTAGATGTACACTAAGATGGCTTTAAATGTCATAAATGCAGCAAACTAGGACTCAAACCAATGTATTCAAATTACAAGAAAGGAGATTCGAACTGAACATGAGGAAGAACTTTATGACAGGAAAAGCTGTTGGACAGTGGAACAGACTCCCACAAGAGGTGGTGGACTCTCCTTCCTTAGAGGTTTCTAAGCAGAGGTTGGATGGCCATCTGTCATGGATGCTTTAGCTGAGATTCCTCCATTGCAGGGGGTTGGACTAGATGACTCTTGGAGTTCCTTCCAAGTATACAATTCTGTGATTCATGAAATAGACATGATGCTACATTTTCAGCCAAAAAAATAAAATAAAAAAGCTTCCAAAGCAGCTAAGCATGAATGAAAAACAATAAGACTGTATAGGACAGGTTAGCTCAGTAGGAAGTTGTGAAAGGGTATAGCTCCCTGTTGAGATTACATTCAGTGGCGAACCCCAGTTGACCTCTGCTTCATGTACTGAGCCTTCTGGGCAGTTGCAATAATGTACCTGATTTGTCCAAAAGGAATGAACTGCAGTGACAGAATAGAAAGAGGTTAATGGTTTAGTTCAGACAATAACATCAAATTGTGGCTTGCTTTGCCATTACATCGAAATTGGCAAGCTGTGGCTTGCACTTATCCACAAATCCATTTCAAATAGTAGTTTCCCATTCTGATTTCAGGTTCCATAGTTTTCAAATTCAGTTTTGCACTTTGTGTGAATCCAGTTGCTCTCTTACAGATCGACAGCACTCAGTGCAAAGAAACTTGCATACGGGGTTGATACATTTTCACGTTGGGGATAAGAATGGTTGCGGGTGCCGGGGCATTTTTCCGACATCTCGGAACGCTGAGCGGGGCTGTGGTGGTCTGGGCGACTGCCTACGGGGCTCATGGTTTCCGTCAGAGTGACCAAGATGACTACTTAAAAGAGCTCTACAAGACAGCCAACAAATACCACTTCTTCCACAGCCTGGCCCTCCTGGCTGTGCCCCACTGCCGCTATCCCATGATTTCTGGCAGCATCCTGTCCCTGGGCATGGGGGTGTTCTCTGGTGCCCTGTATTACCACGCTGTGACAGGGGACCCAGTCCTGACCAAGGCAACCCTTTATGGTGGTTCCCTCCTCATCCTCGGCTGGATCACCATGGCCCCTTGACACCCCCATTCCGTCCCCCTGTGCACCCTCTCTACCAACGCTGGGGCAGCCAGCCCTGTCCCTCATCCCCCCTCTTAGGATAGCAAGAAGGGAACCTTAGGAGAGGAGAGATCTGCCAAATGTCAGCGTGGGATCCCCTGAGGTCTTTAGCCCGCCCAGAACATGTCTCTATCCTGCATCTTGGAATTCCCTAAATGCTGAATCCCTTTTTAAAAGTCAGGATCCTTTTTTCAAAAATTGCAACCAGATTTGAGTTTGTGATGGAGGAAGAGCTTAGGCCTCGACATGAAATATCTGATAAGTGCTTTCAATTGGTGCTTTTTAACTTAATAAATGATGAGAGTGGTTTAACTTTTAAAAAAGAAAGAAAAGAAACTTGCGTACTTATACATTGTCTATATACCATTTTTGCCTTTCCCCTGCCCTACAAATTAAAAATCTCAAAATGATAATTCGAAATGATGGAGTCGAATCCTGCTTGATGACTGGTTATAATTGCTAAGGCTACAATCCTACCAAGGAGCAAATACCCTTGAACTTGATGAGACCTACTTCTGAGCAAATGTGCTTACGATTGCTTTGCAGATGAAGAGACTAATGACCAGTTCACACACGCTGTACCCCATTTTCCTAATCCACCACCACCCGTAATGTTTGGACTTGTATTTGTAAATACTGTGCATCCTGTATACTGTGTATATTGTAATGCAAAAATTTGGCTACAGCGTACGTTCTGCTGGAAAATGACACTCTCCTTCTTTCTGCTCCCATCTTCTTTAACGCATAAGTAGCATGATAATAATTCGAGAGCAGGCAGCAAGGCGGATCTAGATAAGAAAGCACAAAGGCAAAAAAGCTAGACCACAGCAACTTCAGCACCTCAGGCATACCGTAGTAGGATTTGGTTGAAACAGCTGAGCTTTTAATCCCTGAATTGTCTCAATTCATGAATGAAATCCGTAAGTCTGATCACTGGTCACTCACATGATGGCAGTTTGAAGACTGGGAAGGCGAGCATGTGATTCAATAACTCTGGGAACTTCATGCCCTTACCTTTGACTCCTTTCTATGGATGGAGCATGCAGGATCACATAGCATGACAGCGCCCATTGCAACAATCCCTTCACTTACCCTGTGAACTGGTATATTTATTATATCACCATGCAAAGTTGTTATTATATCACCATACAAAGAGAATGGAAGTCTTGGTCCTCCCTTATAATAATTATTAAGAAGAAGAGCCCTGCTGGATCAAGCCAATACCTTATCTAGTCCAGCCTCCTGGGCTCAGTCGTCAACATGATGCCCGGGTTTGGGAAAACATTTGCATAAACAAGGTGAACATAGAACTTGCTAGAGTCATAGCACATTAACATGGATTTTCCCTCCTCCTCCTTAGGTGTCATCTTCAGATCAACTGTCTGGTTAGGGTTCCCAGACTTCGTAGCAAACATATCTGTGGTGAATGGGACGGATGTTTGGCCTGCTGCCTTCTGTGTAGGAAGTGCGGTAGGTAACAGATGTGGCCACGGTCCACACAAACTGGTTTATCACATTTGTATTCTGGCTTTCATTTGTGGAGGTCAGGGCAGCATGTGCTGGGCTTATCACAAAATCCTGCAAGGTGAGTTAGGCCAAAAGCAAGCGACTGGCTCAAAATTGGCCAGTGGGCATCATGGCCGAGTGGGAATTCCCACACAGGGATCTCTTATCTAATCCAAGAGTCTGTGGATCTTGTGCCATTAACTGTGTTAGGGAAGAGCGCTAGCAAGGCCTCAAGAGCCTAGATGAAGTGTTTTTAATAACAAAGAAGCGACTCTGAACTGGTTCCACGGAAGGCACTCCCAACTGCTGCAAGAACTTTTTAGTCTTTTGGCAAACTGGGATCAGTTGCAGCGAACTTACAAAATGGAAAGCCTCAAAAGTGATACCATAAAATCCTGTTCTTGAGCATTTCTCCATACCTTTTCAAAATGGTTGAGTCACCTGAGGGGGGGAATCAAATACGTGAGCTGGGGTGGATTTGTGCTTTGGGGTTGGAAGTTGAGATACTGCACTGCCACCGTGACGCACCCACTGTGGGAAACCTCCTAGAAAGGCTGGCCGAGCTGCCAGTGAAGATACGCTAGTGGAATGACTAAAATGGTGTGGAATTGTGGGAAGAAGGTAGGTGGTGCAGGGAAGGAGCACACTTAATGCTGTTTGACTTGTGCTGCCATCAAAGGCTCAACTTTACACCAGCTCCAGATGGACCTGGTGCAATAAATTTCCTTCTTCAATGGGAGGGAAATTTTTAAAAATACCCCCTCGCATCTTCTGCCCAACCCACATTGCCAGTTTAGTTCTGATGTGCTCTCAGTATAGGGCATAAAAAGCAGTGAATTGATAAAAGATAAGTCTTCCTTCTTATAATAAATTTTGAGATTCCCCCCCAAAAAAACGATTTTAATATTGTCGTGGAAAAAGCAATCCATCACTTGCAGTCCTGTGCACATTTACCCAGGAGTAAGCCACCTTGAGCACAGTGAATCTTCTAAACAAACATGCATAGGATTGTGTTGCATAGTTTCTTCAACTAGTTAGCAGTCTTTGCTTTGAGTAACCAGCATTTTTTAAAAAAAAGATGAAATAGATCTTTTTGGAATCAGGGCTGAGCAGGGGGAAACCTTTGAGTTTGCAAGAAGCATGATTTTTAACTGTGGCTTTTCTGCAGGTAAACTCAGCAATTGCCACTGGGGATAATGACTAATTAAGAGAGGAGACAAATAACTGAAAGCTCAATGGAGCCTAAACACCCAGAACTCCAGGAGCTGAAGAGAAAGTAAAGGTGGAATAATAAAGGTTGCTGGACCAATTTAAAGGGGAAAGAATGCAGCAGAATTCCAGCTCTTGCAAGGAAGAATGTTAGAACTTGTAAACACAGACATGAAAGATCACTTATCTGAGGTCTAGTTGTGGGAAAAAATGTGAATTATCTACAGATAAATGCCATGGAATTAGCTTGATTGAAACCTGCACATTCCATGTTTCCATCAGCCTTTCACGAGGAATATATGCAGCAGAGTTTACAATGCGGATAATCCTTTTCTCACAGCTTTTTTCTCCCCTTTTTGGTGCAGCAAGAAATAGCCATTTCTTATCAAAGTGATTCATGTAATAATATTTTACTCCATACAAAATGCTGTACTTTAGATAGGCAGGTTCCTCATGCATATTCCTAGCTGGATGAGAACCAAGTATGGAAGTTGATGCCTGCCTGTGCCAGTTGATGCATTTTTATATAGGGCCACTCTTGTCTTTAAGCTAAGGCAAAGATGGGGAACCTGTAGCCCTCTGGATGGCATTGGACTCCAATACCCATCAACCCTGGACAGCATGGCTAATGGTCTGGGATGATGGGAGGTGTGGTTCTGGAAGATCCAGAGGGCCATGGGTTCCCCATCCCTGATTGGATGGGTTCCCCATCCACCCATTGGATCGATACCTTTCTCTTGGTGACCCACACTTTTGCTGTCAGAGTGAGAGCCCTGAATTTGGCTGTGCAGTCTGAATTTGGCTGTGCAGATAGACAGCAGCCATTTCTGAAGTTGTGGCGAGTTTCTCTAGCTACTGCCATTGCATGCATTTATGTGCTGATTTCATTTCTACCCCACACACATTGGCTTGCTCTCCATGTGACACTGGCAGTATAGCGGGAATGGTGAGAACCAACCTCAGAAAGCCTTGCTTTACTTGCAGCATTTGACAAGCCTTTTCTGTTATCAGATGTCCTTTCCTAGGGGAGGGAGAGTCTGAAGTCAAATTACGTTTTACATGTGTAACATTTGCGGGAGGCAACTGATCAAATTGTACGCAGAGGAACCGAGCCTAGGGCTAATACTGGCACTCAAGGACTTTGACTTCCACATATTTGGATGTAACTTTTCAAGTTTAAGTGTCCCGGTAAGTTGTCTGTTACTCTCTGCAGCTATGAAATATAAGACCCCTCTTCTCTTTTTTTCTTTCCCCCCACAGATGTGGATCCAGCTCTTGTACAGTGCTGGCTTTTGGTGGCTGTTTTGCTATGCTGTAGATTCCTACTTGGTTGTTAGAAGATCGGCAGGGATGAGGTAATAACGTTAAATAAAACCACACTTTAAAAATAGGGCAATATTTTCAGCATTTATGTTTTTGTTCATGCCTCAATATGGATGAAAGCTTGCCTAACACTAGCCTGGGTTTACCTCATGAGTCATGACTACCTTTGAATATTCTTTGCTAGCAACTCCAATGACTTTTGCTCTCCTCAGTTTTCCTGCAGTGTGTTGATTTCTTCATTGAAGTTTCCCAAACGTCAGTTGTTTGTAGTTAATACACACACGCACATAGCATTCCAAGAGCTGAGCTGCAAGATTTGAGTCAAACTCCTTACCAAACCTCATAACTAATTTGTTTCCCAAACCGTTGACTTCATCGTTAAAAGGGAGGAACGCATGATGTGTGTAATGCTGAAGCAATTTCTGACGTCTAAACCTTTGGCTTTCCATGTATTTCTAGTACAATTGTGTTGTATCACATGATGACGTGGGGCCTGGCGATCCTGCTGTGCGTGGAGGGAATTGCGATGCTATACTACCCTTCAGTTTCTAGGTAACCTTTAAGTTGTTTAGCTTTACTTCTATGATTCACACAATGTTTTAATGAATTCAGTTGGACATGGCAGATGGCGTAGGTTTGTCAGGTACAGGCAGTTGCTTAGGCCTAGGCTTATTAAGGAGTCCACCAGCTGAAAGCCAGCTCTGCCACCTCGGCTCTCAGTTGGTGTGAAGTCCACGTGCATCTGGGGAGATGAGCTCAGTAACGTGGACCAAGTTGTAGCTAGAAGGCATGTGGCGCAGACACCTTTCAGAAGCCAAACAGGCCTGGTTCTGGTTATATGGATGGGAGATTTCTTAGGGACTCTGCCTACACTGTCTTTGCAATGCATGTGAAGAATAATTGAATAAAACTTTTGCTTTAATATCGGAGCTGGCTAAATTAAAACCTTGAGGGTCCAAACCAGATGTTCTGAGGTAAATACTGTATTTTTCCGTGTATAAGACAAGCTTTTTTGACCCAAATATGAGGTTCAAAATTTAGGCTCGTTTTAAACACGGGTAGTGCTGAGGGGGGACGCGCAAATTGTTTTCTGGCGCGAGCCCAAGATTGTAAGCGGTGATTGGCCACTTGATGGGGTTTTTTTTGGGGGGGGGGGAAATTGCTCACCCACCAGAATGCAGCACACAACATCTTGCATCGCAGAAACCACCTATCAGCTCCCCAATCACTGGCAGCAGCCACCAATCACGCTCCCGCTTGCTGCGACAAGGGCGGCTGTCTATTGGCTGCCGCAGCGGCAAACAGAAGGGCTAATGGTGGCGATCAGGCAGCTGTGACGCGAGTGGTTGTGTGCTGCGTTCTGGCGGGTGAGTGATTTTTGGGATTCCCCCCCCCACAACAGTCAAGCGGCCAATGCTGAAAATCGCTCACCTGCCAGAACGAAGCGCGAGCCTGAGATTGTAAGCGGCAATCGTAAGCAACGCGAGTGGTTGTGCGCTGCGTTCTGGTGGGTGAGTGATTTTCGGCATTCTCCCCAAATAATCCTCCCCCAAAGCTCAATCCCCCTATTTTCTAAATTTTGAGGCCCCCAAAATATTCCGTCTTATAGACGGAAGAATATGGTACAATGGTTTTTTTGTGTGCTGTAATGTGAAAATGGAAGCAGTAAAAGCTATCATACTGTCTGAACATGGGACAGACACATATATACATGTGGATGCTCACGTCACAATTATTCCCCTGTGTTTCTGGCTAGGCAGGAAGCCCATTGGGAATCCTGAGTGAGGACTGCTACATGTATGAGGGAGCTCTAATCTTGGAGGAAGGGAATGAGAAATAAAATCTGCTTACTGCCCATTTTTCTCCCCACCCCTTCAGTTGCGAAAATGGTCTGGAGCATGCGATTCCACATTATGTCACGACCTACGTTCCCTTGGTGCTTGTTCTGGTGGCGAACCCAGTCCTTTTCAGCAGGACAGTCACCGCTGGTAAGATTCCAAATGGCAATCGGAATTTGCGCGTGTGAATGAAAAACAATTAGGAACGTGTCTTAACAGATCATGGTTCCTTTTTTAAACAAGGGACACAGGTAATCAGAAGGAGAGATTTGAGAACTTCTGTGAATCAAAAGGTGGCTTCCTGAATAGATTACACTTACCTCCGTGCCCAGAAACTTTCAGAAAACTTTGAGAGGGATTCATCATCATGCTAAGATGATCATTCTGCCAGGGCAAGCATTTTGGAAGGCCAGATGGAGTGACCCCCCTCCCACTATGTGCTCTTCCAAAGGATCTCCCAACCCCCCAAAATGAGCCAATTTCAGGGGGTATGCAGAGGAGGAGAAGTAGAAGTCCGTGCCCAGGGCTTCAGCTCACAGGACTCAATAGTTAAATTCTGCCCATTATTTTGTCTTCCCTAGAGGGAACCTGGTACTCTCCAGATGTTGTTGGACTGCAACTTTCATCATCTCTGACCATTGGCCATGCTGGCTTCTGCTGGTGGGTTTTGGTTCCGACAACATCTGGGGGGGGGCATGGTTTTTTTTTTTTAAAAAAACAGACCTACCATATACTTCTGCCTGGCTATTACTGTTGCTGCAACAGATTACATTGGTGACGTTAAAGTTTGCGCCCAACTATCCTGTGTAAGCCCTTTTGAAACCAGTAGCATTTTAATGGGGCTTGGACAAGAGAAACAACCTAGTGGGATGTGCCGTTGATTTTCACTGCTGACCTTAAAACCGCTGGGCTTTATCTCACGGTGTGTGCAATGCATTTTATTTCTCCTTTCCAGTTGCATCCTTACTGAAGGGACGACAAGGGATCTATACAGAGAATGAAAGGCGCCTGGGGACAGAGATCAAAGTTCGCTTTTTCAAAATCATGCTGGTGGTCGTTATTTGGTAAGACACATTTCCGCCCTCCTGCTTAATGGAATAGTTTCTTTTAACGATATTGTGCGGGCAAATGCGTAGGCTGATGTTGCATCAGCTCTACATTTTAAAAAGTCAAGTTTTGTTTATCTGAAATTTTGACCCAGGTAGGGGCTTATGTGTGTGCGCACGTGCTCCCTCCCTTTATACAGGGGTGGGGAACCTCAGGCTCAGGGGGCAAATGTATCCCTCCAGACCTCTGTGTCCTGAACCTTTGAATTCTTCCCAAGCTAACCCCCCCTCCACTGCCTCTGCTTCACACCCTGAGTGCTTTTGCCTTGATGGCATGTCTCATTGAACTCTGAAAATGCCTCTTTCCTTGCCTGGATGCAGGACAGAAATTGTGTGAAGGGGTGAAATTTAGAAACTAATCAAATGTACAAAGTTACATTTCTGTTCGTTGCTGTGCCCACTTGTTGGCATGTGTGCCCCCCCCCAAAGGTTGCCGAGAAGAGAATGTGACCCTCAAGACGAAGGTTTTCCATCCCTGCCCTTTATATGTTGCTGCTGCTAACTGCTACTTATAATTTTCCTCTTTATGGTGCCTACAGCAATGAGGGTTCTCTCCCCTGCTCCTCCCTCTACACCACAGCCCAGTATACTATGGTATGAATCCAAATGACCAAAATTAAATTCCGCAACTGACAAGCCTACAGGAGAGTGGCATGTTAAAATTTCATTTTCAATTGGTTTCTCTGCCTCAGGCTGCACAAAGGGATTCCAAGGCAGGGAGATTTTGTACATGCATTCATCTTCTTTTATACTACCGGCTTTGAAAATTAGCATTCAAAGCGAACTCTCCAAGCTCTTTCTGCAAATGAGTACAGCTATGCTTTGAAAACAAAGGACATGCATCAAGTGATCCATATCTCTGCCTTCTTCTCTTGGTGCCTGTTATCAGCTGGTCATCGAATATCATCAACGAGGGCCTCCTGTTCTACCTGGAAATGCAGCCAGATATTAACGGAAGCCCCTTGAAACACGTCCGGAACGCTGCACTGATCACGTGGATCATAATGGTAAGGGCTTAGCAATGTTTTTAGGGCTTCCTAAACGAGTGTCATTGGCAAGGTGGCCATCCAACAGGAAAGGAGTCCCCAGAGACCTGCAGGGTGGGGGGCAGGGACAGACTTATCCTGCTGAGGACAGTGCAGGAAGTGATGAATTTGGAAGTTCACTGGATAGACAGAAGTGCCAACCACTTTATTTTTCTTTTCTTTTGGCTGCAGGTGTCTACAATACAAGTAGTAATTAACTGTCAGGAGAACGTTTTAAATTGCTTGTGTACTTTTTTTATCCATACAGGCTTGTTGATAATGATCAATACCAGGTTACTGAGTCATGGCAGAGTTGGTTTCTAATCAGCCCTGTCACTTTCTCCTGAAGTCTCAGCATCTCTCTCTCCTCACCTGGAGCAATCCTTGTCCTTTTCTTGCCTAGTGTTACTTTTCATCATTGGCTTCCTGTTCCTCCTTCCACTGTCTCTCCCTTCCCTCAACATAGCAGAGCTTCCATTACTTTCTTTGCTCTTTAGAGCCCTTTATGTCATTCATTTCCTTGTACGGCTGTGAAATTACACTCTTTTGTCTGCCTTCTCCCCCTTTTTTAATTTTTCTGCCCAGTATCTCGTGTTTAACTTCCTTCTTTCTTCCTCTCTCTTCCCCACAACACAGCTGTGTGACTTTGCTGGAAATCTCATGACCACTAGCGCGCTGCCCTATTTTTGTCCTAGGGCAGAGGTCGGCAACCTGCGGCTCCGGAGCCGCATGTGGCTCCTTTAAACCTTTGCTGCGGCTCCGGGGCGCCTCTTCCCTCATGGTGCAGGGAGCGAAGAAAAAGAGGAGGAGGGCGGCGGCAGGAAGGCGCGCCAGGGCGCAGCGGCGGTTCTCCCTTCAGGTGGACACTGTTGCCACTGCCACCGCTGGCACCTGCCACACACGGGCGCGTCCACAAGCAGGCGCGCTCCCTTTCGCCGTCGGTCGCAGCAGCCCGCCCGCCCTCAGGCCCCGCGCGCTGCGCCGCTTGACGTTGAGAGCCGCCCACCCAGGCCACGCTCTCCTCAGCCCCGCACGCGAGGCACCTGAGGCGAGGGAGAGAGCGCACACACGCTCGAGGGAAATGGCGGGGTGGGGTGTGTGTGTGTGTGTGAGAGAGAGAGAGAGAGAGAGAGAGAGAGAGAGAGGGGTGGCGGTGGTGCTTCGGGATCCTTTTCTGTGCCTTGCTTCTGAGTGGCCGCCGAGTTGAGGGAGGAGGGGGTCCAGAGGTAGCCAGCAGGAGAGGCGGGGGAGCACGAGAGCAATTGCAGAGGGAGGGGGAGCTGTTAGGCACCAAAATCCTGCATGCGGGATTTCCCCGTTCTCTCGTGCCTATGCAATTCCTGCCCTTCTCCCTTCCCCCTCGAGATTTGCTGCAGAGACAAGCAAATGAAGAAGAAAGGGAAGAGTATTAGCTGACATGTCCCCTGGTCCCATGGAAAGCACCACAGATTCCTTTGCTTACCAGCTCTTTTTATTTTAAGTTGGCTTCAAACCTGTAATTGTGTAGGTGTATGTATGTATACATATACACACATAAATATTCATATCTCTTCCCTCTCACCTTCCTTTCACCCAGTTTCTCTGGCACTGGTTTATAAATGCTGCTATGTAGAAATGATGAGAAAGTTGCACCAGCAGAAGGAATGGATATGTGCTTTTAGTAAAAAGAGAGGGAGTTGAACTGCAGGGAGGGACAGACACTTTTCTATGTATTAATTTGTATAATGCCCTCTATGCACATGGTGCTTTGCAAAAAATGGATATGAGAGGTACCATTCCCCTCTTTGCTATCTGAAATAGACTCAGGGAAAAGAGAGAGAATGGGGGAAGGGGAAGAATGTGTGGTTATTTACATTTGGCTTGTTTTGCGGCTCCCAGCTGTTGTTTTTTCTTCGAAAACGGGTCCAAGTGGCTCTTTTTGTCTTAAAGGTTGCAGACCCCTGTCCTAGGGAGTGTTGTGTGTCTCTTTGCCCACATGTGTAGTAGTAATACTACTACTAATAATAAGCAAACATACGCAGACTCCAGGGTTTCAGGCAGAGGGGAATGTTGGAGATACAGGATTGAACCTGGGTCTTTCTGCGTGGAAAGCAGATGATCTAGCACTGAGCTACAGTGTCGTCCCATAATAATAATTCTTATGTCTGAAATCAGCCCTACTGAGTTCAGTGAGCTTTACTTCCAGGCAAGTGTGTATATGTAGCTTCACAGCTGGGGTTGCTTTTTTTTTTTTTTAGTTTTGCCTTCCTGCTAATCAGTAACTAATACTTCCTCACACCAACAAATGCATAGAATGCTAGATGACTGGCTGAAGGGAGCAACCTTGAATGCTCGTTCAAAACAATTCTTAATGCAGTCGTATCTTGGTTTTCAAATGCCTTGGGACTCGAGTGTTTTGGCTCCCGAAAACTGGAAGTGATTTTGGTTTTCTGGTTCTGGTTTTCGAACACTCTTTGGAACCTGAACGTCCAACCCGGCTGGAGCTTCCTGCAGCCAATCAGAAGCTGCTCCTTGGTTTCCGAACGTTTTGGAAGTCGAACGGACTTCTGGAACGGATTCCGTTCGACTTCCGAGTTACCACTGTACATACCTTTTATTTCCAATGTGCAAGAACGTCAAGTTCAGCGAAGGAGCACTTTTGCATGTCCCGACTCGCTCTCAGGTACGCTGGTGAGACACACAGGCTCCTCCCAGTCGCAGTGTCTTCACTGGAACTTCTGCTGTGGGAGAGCCTCCTTCATCTCCACTCTTCATCCTAGCCCATCACCATTTGAAAATGCTTCTATTATCAGGTACCTATATGCAGAGCAGAGTCGCCACTACAGATGTCTGTTCCCCTCAGCGCATGGATGGGTCAGTCAGCGTAGTTCCACCATCTCCCCCACATGCAAGAGGGAAATGTCCAAACAGTGCTGGTAGAGTCTTTAGGTATTATTCTTGTTCCATCTTCTTCGTTTAGGCAGGAGCCGGGAGAGAAGCCTCCCTTCCTAAAGCAAAGGCTGAAGGTGGCTGTGCTGCACACCTGGGGATTGCTCAGAGAAATTATACTTTTATTTCCGTAGTAAGTGAAGGGGACAAGAGTTATCATTAATATTCCCAGGAGTTTTGCCAAACTCCTCTCTCAAACTTAATCCGTTCCGGAAGTCTGTTCCAAAACCAAAGCATTCCAAAAGCATTCCAAAAGCATGGATTAATCCATTCCAGACTTTTAAAAACAACCCCTAAAACATTCAATTTAACATGAATTTTACTATCTAATGAGACCATCGATCCATAAAATGAAAGCAATAATCAATGTACTGCAGTCACACAATCAGTAGCTGAACTGGGTTCCACACAGTCACAAAAACAAAGCAAAAAAGCTGCAAAAACTAAAAATGCAAAATAAATAGCAAAAACAGACACCTCAGAATAACACTCAAAATGGAAGTGTGGGGTCGGAAGTGTAACACTCAAAACGGAGCACATTCGGCTTCTGAAAAATTTTCACAAACCGTAACACTTACTTCCAGGTTTGCAGTGCTCCAAGTTGTTCAAGTACCAAGGCGTTTGAGAACCAAGTACCACTGTATGCTGCCTTGGGAGGTTCTCATACTGAAATGTGATGTGTAAATAATTAAAACTGAATGAATTCTTTTAAAAGGACCATGGTTCTTCATTACCCATGGCCATGTTGATTCTCGCCCTGCTTTTTGGTCCTTTAGGGAGTACTGAATCCAATGCAAGGCTTCCTTTTTACACTGGCTTTCTATGGATGGACGGGCTGGAAGTTAGACCTGCGCTGGAGAAAAAGCGAAATACCCTGGGAATCGATGTCCACGTCAACAGCTGCTGAAAATGCTTACGGCTTGCCAAGTGGAAACTCTGTGAATTTCCCCGACTCAAAGAACACGACAGCGGAGCCAAACCATCAGGCGGATGAAACCTTAAGCATGCTGTCTGAAGGTAACCTTGGCAGTGATGAGAGGCCACCTAGGAACTCTCCTGTCTACCAGGGCTGGTAACTTGTACCACCTCAGGGCTGCTTCACCCTTGCACTCCTCTTGTTGGAGGCCATGCATGTTGCATAGATCATATTTCAACACTGTTGATTCACCTATTCAGCTGCCAGCCAACACAAAGTGGAATTAAGAGGTGTACATGAATGTGTGATCTGGAGAATGTGCGATTGCAAATGAGAGTTCATCCTTCCCCTTGCTCACCAGAACCTCACTTTTTTTCTTGTACTATCTTTCCACTCATCAAGACTCCCTTGCTAGAGAGAAAAGCAATGTGGGAGTTAAAAAAAAAATGAGAGAAGTCAACTTTTTGACAAACAGCGCACAAGAATACCACTGTCAGAAGGTTCCTATGATGTTCAGAACTTATTAGCTTTGTAGTTTCTTTTGGCATACTTTGTTTTCTTGTCTCCTATAACTTGTATATCTTACGGTACATGATTTTGTTTAATAAATATATTACGGAATCCTGTAACCCTAGTGGCTTTCCTGGTTAGCCGAGATTGCAACGTTGCTGTGTTTTATTAGAAATACTCCAGCATTGTAGTCTGAGCCTCAGTTTTGGCCTTTCCCTTGTAGCATGCAGAAGAGTTTGCTTTCTTGAGCCAACTTTGGCATTTATTCTTTGCCCAACAAGGGAAAACGTTTTCATATTACTGCACTCAACCCTGTTCTGTGCTTCTTGACATGCTTTTGCACCATTGTGAAGATGTCTGTTGACATAGTTGGCTTGCAGAAAGCATAGCACCTTCTCAGGGAAGAGAGCTACAACAGCATAAAAAGGAACACCCAATATTCGGATTCAAAATATTACGTCAGAGACACATGCAATTTACTCTTCTAGCCGGATTTGTATTGGGGATCTTCCAGTCAACATTTAGCTACGTATTCTGCACAATTTGAATCCTATCTTTCCTTTTGCTGTTCTGCTGTCAACTCTGTTTAAGCAGAACTAAAGAAACCCAAAACACTCTGCGATGGCTGCAGTGGGGGTCAGTGCTGCTTTAATGCAAGACTTACAGGCCTGATTTGCCTAGGGGCTGGTTCAAACTTTCCCCTGAGGTTGGACTCCTTGAGACCTCGCTATTGTAAGTCTGTCTTCCCAAGTGCCTGTCTCAGCCTTTCTCCCTTAAAAGGAAGGGGGTGGTAGATGCATAAATGGCTATAAACACAGCTGTTGCCCTACCTGAACCCTGTTTGTATGGCACAGGACACCTTGCCTGTGGTAGAGCTCATAGTTCAAACCCATCTAGAATGCCTCCCAATCACTTGTTTCAAGGTACAATACTAGCAGGGCTAGAAAAGGCATCCTGCTTCGAGGTTTTTTGCACACAAGAGTATAGACCAGCCTTTCCCAATGTGGTGTGTCTTCCGCATACTTTGCGCTATGACTCCCATGGGCCCCAGCCAGTGGTTCGGGATGATGGAAGGAACAGTCCCAAACATCAGGAGGACATCAGGAGGGGCAAGGTGAGAGCCGATCATTCTGTAGATACAGTGTGAGAGTTGTAGCTGTACAGCTACCTAGTCTCTCCTTAATGGCCTTTTGCTGCTGATGTAGCATTGATTCTGGAAGGTGGTTAACATTTAGAAAATAAAACATCCAAACACTTAAGATGCTATTTCGCCATCCTTTTTAACGAAGGAAAAGAACAACCACCCACTTGTGTTTTTTAAATGTGTCGTTCCATTCCCTCACTCCATCACATGAACGTTAGAACAATCATGCCTTTCTGTTTACAGAGCCAAAGGCCTGGCCTTGTGGGTCAAGATTTCTTAAACAGAAACTGCCAGGCACACGAGAGATCCAGCATCCAACTGAGCAATGCAAACCCTTAACATTTAAGCAAACAAACTAAGCAAACAAACCCAATGAACCCCACTGTGAAATGTGTCAAAGGTGGCTGGTCTTTGTGATGTCAGCTAGTTGTGCACAGGATTGGGGATGGGGACAAGATGAGCACAAGGCTTACGACGCCCCTACTTGCTTTTCTAATCTTATTTCTGACTGGCCATGCCAGATGCAGTATGCTTCTGAATGCCAGTTGTTGCAAACTGCGTAAGGGAAGAGTGCTCTTGTGCTTTGGTGCTGCTGGTAAGTTTTGCACAAGCATCTAGGTGGCCACTGGATGCTGGACTAGATGGGCCATTGTCCCAATTCCAACAGGTGCTTCTTACGTACCTTCTAACCTGGGCTATGTTATATGTGAGCTATATTAATGTGGCTTGAAATAAACTCTGGCAACAGAAATAGTTTGGAAATTCTTGTACTATCATAGTGGGAGAACATTTAAACAACGTCCGTTCCAATACAGGCCTATGCATGTCTACTCAGAAGTAGGTTTAAAGAAGCAGTTTTGGGGATGCCAGTCATGGGCACTACTACGGTGTGTTTTAAAGCAAAGCCACCTCACCACTTTACAGGAATCCACGGCAGATGTTTTCGCTTGGGTTCAACTCATGTTTAACTGCATCCTCAGATACATCTTGCACATGGCCACTACCCAGATCTAGATAGAAGAAGGGTTCTGCAAGAGAGGTGGGGAACGAGCCGGAAATTCAGTGGACAGAAGGAGACACAGTTTTGATGAGGCAAGAGCCTCCATGGTAATTGTCAGCCACAAGCAATTTTTGTTACACAAAGCTATTCCTTCTTGGAAGAGGGCTTGAAGGCCTGAGCTCACACAGTCCATGGCCACTATGTTCCAGCATCAAATTATGAATGCTTAAAAATAAAATAAAATTCACGTCCCATGATTCCTGGCATTCAAGATTTTTTTCTGGTCAGGGCAAACTAGGGATTAATTATACTATTCTAATAAAAACATGGCAGGTAAACGAACAGTAGGCCTTGGAAAAAGGATGCAGAAGGCCTTCATTACCTCCGACAGGACTACAAATGACTCCTGTCTGAAACATTGGAAATCTATCCTAAGTGTCTACTGAACTGGATGGGAGCAATGACTCAATATAATTATATTATCAGTGCTATTTTTCTAGAAAAAGAGGTGCTGGAACTTCTCTTACAATGGCAATGGCACCCACCCGGGAGGTGCCAGAACTGAGTCCCGGCTGAACTTCATTAGACCCCACCTTTTCCCCTGACAGGGACTCAAGGCAGCTTACAGATAAAATAAGAACAGCTAAAAATGAGGGAATCATTTAAAAAACACCTAAATATCAATAGAATGTGTGTGTGTGTGTGTGTGTGTGTGTACACATTATTCAAAACATACAGATAATTACACTAAGAACTCCATGGCACTAGCCCTCTCATTAAAAGCAGTTTCCAAAAGCTTGTTGGAATAAGGTGGTCTTCACCTGCCAACGAAAGGACAAGGAGGGAGCCAGCCTAACATCTCTAGGGAGTTCCACAGTCCGGGAGCAGCCACCAGAAAGGCCCTCACCCTCACCTACCAAGCATGCAGCTGCCTGTGTTCCTAAGGCACACACAGTTCAGATACATATCCCAGTTCAAATTTCTTTGATACTTAAAGAGACAGCTAGAGTACTATAATTCAGTACAGGCCCCTCTCTAGTCGCAAGAACAAAGGCTTGATATGTCAGCATCTGCTATTAATAACGAGCCACAGAACATACTTGGTCTTCTCTCTGGCTCAGAAGAAAGGGCTTTGTTAAAAGAAAGCAGATCCACACCCCCCCCCTTGGTCCATTAGTGCCTGGATTGAGACGTGCTGAAGCATGGGTTAGAAAAGTAATAAACCAAATACTGTGCTAGAAGTGAAGAGAGAGAAAACAGACACACACTCCTATGGGGCATGGGCGACAAGCCTCACAACAGGCTCACATGCAGTTTGTTGCTAGTCTCTGGCTTGTTCGCATCAGTTTTGATTGGACTTCAAGTAGATATTGGGGAGATATTTTTAGAGGCCTTTAGTCAGAATGTCACACACCTCATACATTTTTAAAAATTGTGCAAAACTCTGCTCACCTTTGCCCTAAGCTTGCTGTCGCACTCAGTATCATAAAGAAATATCTTCTACTAAACATTTCATAGGGGCTATAGATTCAGAACTGTTGATGGCAATGAGCAGCAAATACATTCAGCCATCAACTCTCAGTGTGACCAGGAAAACATCAAACACTTCTATGCAGCAGCTGCTTTGGCATTAAAAGAAAAAAAATGAATGGAAGCCTTTCAGGCATAAGAGCTCAACTAAATTCTGTATTTTCTGTGGGAATGTCACAAGCTTTATTCCCGGTCATGAGGTCTTTCCTAGTTTTAACATCTTTGCTCAAGCCACCAACAATTCTTTCTCCAGACTTCCTGACTCCTACACCTGATAAGCTACCCAACATCTCCCTAATGCCTCATGGAACAACACAATCATCTTGAAAATGCTGTTTCTATAATACAATACATAGCAGACCACACTAAAGCAAGAGTCACTGTGCCTCCATAGACTTCCAGTCAAAATACTCTGTGGTTTGACACACTTGTACAGCGAAATTCCTGCTCTGTAGGGCTAAATGCAAGTTTTGTGCTGTAAGTTTCCTTCATTATTTTTTTTAGTCAGCAAGAGACAGACCAGTTTCTTCAGCCATCCCTCTCCCTCTCTGAATGTAATGAGAGATCTCTCTCTCTTTTTGTCTCGCTAGGTTCTGATGCTAGCACAATTGAAATCCATATCTCAAGTGGAGCCCATGAATTAGATGGCAATGATGCTGATGTTGAATAATTGGAAACGGTTTGTGGAGAGGAGCTGGAGGACACCCTGACACCCACTCCCCCCAAAAAGTCTAGCATGGAGTGACAAGCAAGTCTTCCTCCTTTGAAATTCAGATTTGCCACCACTCTTCGGCCAGCATCTCCCCCACAAGCCTGATCACACTTCCCTTGACTGACTTTTGACAGCTTTCTAGTCCTCAGTCTGCTAAAGCACATAACCAATTCTGAACATGAGCCTGAACCATGTTCAGATTCAGTAGCAAGTGTTAAAACATTCCAATCCACAAAATCACCACCATGCTTTATTTTTGCCTCTAAACGTTGCTGGGATGTGTAAAAGGTCCCAAATGTCATGATATATGCACACACAACATGAATACTGAAAAAGTACCATAAAGCTTTCTTATTTTTACTAATTTTCCTTTGCTTACCTTGGTTAATTCTAACGAGACACCCACAGAGACCCTACAGACCAAATGACACTATTTAGTAGACCTTTCAAATGTGTTCCTTGCTATTCCTTTCCATCCTTGTGACACACTATAAACTGTTGATTCCTCTTCCAATGGGTCAATCACCTTAATGTGGGGAAAAGGTTTTTGCTGTTTCCTGACAACTGCACTGGCCAGACACTGACCCTGAAGTAGTGCCACCCAAGTGGCACAGTTCAAAGGTGAGGGGGTCAAAGGGCAGCCCTGTCTACACACTCCTGTTGTGTTTACACACTTAATTGATTTTTTCAGTTAATTTTTTTAGTTAGAGGAAAATATTTATTTTTTTATTTGGAGATTATACCTTGCTTATAATGACAGCAAAATCAAGCAATGAGCTGCAGGTTTACAACCACTGCTCAAACACCATAGCGACAGCTTTCTCATATTCTGACATAGGGTACTATCCAACTAAGTGATGCTCAGAGTAGACCTTCTGAAATAAATGGAACCAAGTTAGTCATGGCCATTAAATTCAATATGTCTAGTCCCAAAAGTAAGGGACCCCTGACCATTAGGTCCAGTCGTGGCCGACTCTGGGGTTGCGGCGCTCATCTCACTTTCTTGGCCAAGGGAGCCGGCATACACCTTCCAGGTCATGTGGCCAGCATGACTAAGCCACTTCTGGCAAACCAGAGCAGCGCATGGAAACACTGTTTACCTTCCCGCCAGAGCGGGAATCTACTTGCACTTTGATGTGCTTTCAAACTGCTAGGTTGGCAGGAGCAGGGACCGAGCAACGGGAGCTCACCCCATTGCGGGAATTCGAACCACGACCTTCTGATCGGCAAGTCCTAGGCTCTGTGGTTTGACCCACAGTGCCACCCGCATCCCAAGTAGGACTAGATATATAACCCATCATCTCAAGCACAGCTCATCAATGAAAAGTTCACCTTTTGCATTATTAACTCACCAAATGGTGAATTTCTGCATGTGAATCATTCCAAATGGTACCTTCAGAATTATCAAATCTTGGCTGGTAAATATTATTTGCTCTGTCCCTTTAAAAATGACAAGCTAAGCAGGTCCTGTCAACCTTTTTGGAGCCTGAACAGCAGCTGTGGGTTATCTCTGGTCCACCAAATGTTCCTCAACTACAATCCCCAATAGCGCCCAAAAGCATGGCCAATGGCCCTGGAAAGTCGAAGGAAGGAAGGGAAGAAGCCACAGTGCACCTAAGGAAATAGGCAAATGTTAATGGCACAGGAAGAATGAGAAACAACTCACACAGAGATTTCTAATATCAAAATATAGCAATTTATTCAAGACACTGAATATGATCTGTTGATTCTCTCCTTGAAACAAAACAAACTACAACACACAAGGTGATTTGCTGAAAGAGAGTGCAGGTTTGTGTGTATGTGTGTGTGTGTTTATAAGAGGGGAGTGGGTGTACAGACAAAACGGGGTGAGGGGAGATGTTGATTCAACAGAACCCGGGGAAATGCTGAAATGAGAACCAAGCCCGGCTTCAAGTCTGACACAGACAATAAAACTTCAGAAGCCAGAATTCAGACTTAATCAGTGAGTGGCTGAAGTAACAATTCTGCAATTGACAAAGAACCGCATTTTTTTTAGAAGGCAAAAAAGAAAACAAGAGAATGAAACAAGGACAAAGTAGAACACCCCCCACAAAAAAACGCAACCCTTACATTTGACAAAGTGCACTTCACTTGGCTCTAAAGTTAGTTTTTAAAATAAAAAATAAAAATGCAATCTCATATATGTCTTGGGGACTAATATGCATTGAACCCTAGAAATATACTGGGCTTTTTTGATGCCCCATATAAGGAACCCAGTGTATACCAAGTTAAAGATGCAGTATTCCTCTCTCCCTGGGATCTTGCTGGTCAATTCAGAGTGCTAAGTGTCTCCAGAGGCAATTTCTCTAATATGTCAGAAATGTTTGTGGAGAAAGGATTAGCCCTTTCAAAATTCCAAAAGCTATTTGTTGGCTTAAACCAGTCTAATCTTATTACCTCTTACAGTGCAATCCTATGCATGTCTACATTGCTCAGATACAAGTCCCACTGGGTTAAATGGGACTTACTGCTAGTTAAATAGGGGTCGGTTTGCAGCTATTTAATACCTTGGGCAGTTGAGCAGCAGTTTAAAAAAGTGAACCCACTGCAGATCTCCCCAACTTAGCAGTATTTGTAAACAGAAATAGTCAGCAAATAACAAAGATTTCTCTACACTCTGTGAAACACAAGACTTATTACTCAGAATAAAAATAAAAACAATTACCCATTTTGAATAAAATGGCAGAATTGGGCATTATTCAATGTGGAAATATTTTCTGCAAGAAATGTGGGATTTTAAAAAAAATTGTTGAGAGTTATCTGAATATATGACTCAGAAAAGAAGTATCTATTTTTAAAACTCTAACTTTCTGAAATAATGTGGCATAATTGACATCATTAAGACTTGTCAATTAAATTAAAAACATGCAAGATATTTCCCCCCCTCTTTAATAAGATTATATTTTACAAGAGAAGCAATGCCTGGTTTCTTTTTGTTTCTTTGTTTTAGCAAATCGCCTTTCATGAGGAGGAAATAAAAGGGATACTGCATCTTTAAATCTGTATCAGATTCCATTCAAATTGGGGTGTTTTTTTTGTTCTGAATGGGTAACACAATCCAGTCTACATCTGGTAGAGATTTTAAGCTTCTAAAATTGTGTTTTAACATAAAAAATACTTCTCTTTTTTTCCAAAAATACACTGGGTTCTTTCTTTTCCTAAAAAGTCATCTTTCTCCTGTAAAAAGCGTTCCCGGCATTGCATTCTTACATAAAGCACTTATTACACAATTTGTTGAAAGTGCCCTTGAGACCCTAAGATCTGAAGCGTGGAAGTATTAAGAGAAAGAAGAAGCTGGGAGAGACGAGACGAGAGCGGAAGGGGCAGGTGGGGGGGGGGCAGAAAGAAGGGGAGAGAAAAAGTCTGTTAAAACTTTTCATTTTGCCCACCTGGCTGCATTTTCTGCGGGCACCAACGGAAAAAAGCAAAACAAAACAGACGAACAAAAACATGGGCACAATAAAGAAAGAAAAGAAATTCAGTTCAAACCTACTATGCCTGTGATCCTCAAAGGCTATCATATTCCAGCTGGAAGGGGGGGGGAGGGGGAAACCCATTGAACAAATAAAAGTAGTCTAGAAAATAGAAAGTGTTGTGATTACAAAGTCGTGTGTGTCATCAGTACAAACTGGTCTTTGAATGTCCTTTGGGAGAGCAACGGTAGTGTCCAGATTGGAAGGGAAAAAAATACAAGACCACATGGAGGAGGATTCTTTTTCTCTCTCTCTCTCCCCATTTTGGTTTATCAAAGCATTTTGCTTTATAGGTTTTCTTTTTTTTAATTATTATTATTATCATTTTTGGCACAGCTTTTCCTCTTCTTTTCTGCAGCCATCAGAGCGAGTTCTCAGAGACCCAAACCAAACACTACGGGGTCTTAGCTGGTGGTGGCCTCTTGCTTCCAAAGGCTGAAGGTTCCAGGTGGAAACCATCCCCAACCCCTCCCCCTACATGATTGTGTCTTAACTCCACGGTGAAGGTTATGGACAAAACATTTTGCAGGCTTCTGCCGCCTGGGAGAGTTGCCTTTGTTGTACACTCTGGGGTCCCCCCCGCCCAGTTTCTGTTTGTTTCCCCCTGTTCTTGCAGTTCTAGAGATGTTAAAAAATAGTTTTGAAGAGTGCTTCTACCCACACATTCAATGCTGGTCCATTTGCAAATTTTCTTCTAAAACATTTACTTTCGCAGGTCTAGAACACAAACCTAGAAGGCAGAGAGAGGTGGAAAACGATCAAAAAACATTGTTCGGATATCTTAATATTGTTCACTCGTAATTGCACAGTAGTAATTGTATTTACAATGATCTGGGCGATCCAGCAGGGAATATTGAACAAGGGAAAGGTATCACAATCAGAAAGGTTCAGTTTGCACAGTCACCCAGTTACAGGTCCTCTCTGCATGCTGGAGAAGAAAATGTATACTCCTAAAACACACACTCATGAGAAGGACCCTCAGCATGTGAAATAATGCAATAATCTTGGGAGTCCATTTGGTCCTTGGAGAAAGCATACAACAGAGTAGCAGCATTCTTACATATCACTGCTTCTGCCATCTGTTATAAAACACCATCGAGAGCTTAAGCTAAGACATTAAAGGGTACTTCATGGATCTGTTAAGTCTCCCAGCTACAAAAAGCTCTGCAGGATGTTTCAAAAGGATGAAATCAGACCAAATGGTGTTCCTTGCTCAGAGGACATATGGAGATGTGAGTGCACTTAAATGCCTCTGGATACTGCTCACTAACTCACAGATCTCTCATCTTATCATGGGGGGAGGACAGTTTTAGCAACGTGGGAACTATGCTCATTTATGGGATAGGAACAATCACTGAAAATGAAGTCTGAAAAGACTCACCGATCCATCTGATGCACTAGCCCCCACTTTGTCTCCTTTAGCATTCCAGCAGACTTCAAATATTCCCCCAGTGCCTCTGTAGCTATGTACTAGAGTTCCGTTCTACAAAAATAATAATAAACAAATCACCACCACCATCATTATTATTATTCAGGCAGCAAATATTTCTTGCTCTGCATTGTGCGTGTGTGTGTTTCCCCAAGGTTTCTAAGAAATACATGCGAATTATGCTTGGATCGAGGGCTCGAAACTTCAGGCCCAAATGCAGCCCTATCTGGCCCTTGAGGCTCGACTCTCAGGCTGCACACACACACACACACACACACACACACACACTCTCTCTTTCCATGCCTCATCTCTCACTGGCTCTTCTGCAGGTCCTCCTTGAGAGGTTTTGCCTTGCTGGAATGTTTCCTTGGGCTGCAACAATGCATTTTGCTTTCCAGGGTGGAGTGTGTGTGCA